ATTTGTTGTTCACTATTCATAATTATATAATCGTACATATACTTTCAGTATCGTTTTATCAGAATGTCATCACCTACTAGATAAATTATACAGATAGCCTGCGTTCATTTAGTTCGTTTCCCAGTTTCGGTTTTGTTTTGTACATTGTATGCCGGTACTTGTTTTATGTCCTGCTAATTTTTATATTGCTTGGTTATAAACAATTTATAGTCATAAAGAAAATGGAAAATGATTTACCTATATACACATTGACTTACCTTTAGAAACATTGACTTACCTATAGATACATTGACTTACCTTTAGATACATTGACTTACCTATAGATACCTTGATTCACCTTTAAATATAATTGCTTTATTTAAACTTGAACTTGGCATCAAAATCACTTCCATAACACTACAAAATTTTAAATACTTTTACCGTATTTTTATTTTTGTGATATCAATGTATAAACAATCTCATGACGATTTGTTTATTATATTATGAAATAATTTAGAAGCATAATTCTTGATTATTCCTTCCCTAATTGTTTTAATTTGTCCCCGAGAATTCTAGAATTCATTCCCGTGTATGCCATAATCTCTAAGAAGTAGCAACAAAATTATACATAAACAACATATCCAACCCACTCTATTAATTATTATTAGTCTATTCTGGGTTGAAAGTTTCACATCACATATCAGAAATTTAGAGAAAAATTAGTACATATCTTACACAAAATAAAGTACCTAGTCTTTGTAAACCAAATTTTAACCATACACAATATTAAAGTACCATTTAACATTGTCGGCCCAATTTACACCCGATACTGTACCCTTCCTAGACATTGTCAACCGAATTTACACACTAAACTGTACCCTTCCGAGACATTGTCAACCAAATTTACACATTACACTGTACCCTTTCTAGACATTGTCAACCGAATTTACACACTATGCTGTACCCTTCCTAGAAATTGTCTACCGAATTTGAAGACTAAACTCTACCCTTCCTAGACACTGCCTACTGAATTTACACCCGACAAGGTACCCTTCCTAGCCATTGTCAACTGAATTTACACATTATACAGTACCTTTCCTAGACATTGTCAACTGAATTTACACCCGACAATGTACCCTTCCTTAACAATGTCAACCATATTCTTTCTCTAGTTATCATTCACAAGTGTGTCTCCAGTTTTCACCGGGAAATATAAATGTATCTCCCTCTAGTGAGAAATTGTCTGTTGTAGAATAGAACGTGTTGTAGAATCGTACAAAATTAATTGCGGTTTTGACCTCATACAATTCAAATGGCTATATTCATTTCCTTTTGGTATTTTTGTTAGCAAACATTCCAGACTACTGTTGCTGAAAAATATGAGAAAACATATCATTCACTACCTTAAGGATGTAACAGAGACACGTCCAACCCATCTTCAAATTCACAGACGATACTTACCCTTTACTTTGGTCGAAATGTCGGGTTCGAAATGAGTACCAATATTGACAGCTTTGCCGGTACATACTAATGTATATCAAGTCCAGAGTTGTTTTTTATACCCAAATCACCCTGTCTACGTTTAATTTGGACAAACTAAGATGATTGAATGTGTATTGCTGTGGCAGGTAAAGATAAACCTAGCTACCTTTGATAACATTGTCAACCGAACTTCCACACTATACTGTACTCTTCCTAGACATTGTCAGCCATATTTACACCTGATACTGTACCTTTCCTAGACATTGTCAACCGAATTTACACACTGTACTGTACCCTTCCTAGACATTGTCAATCGAGTTTATACACTATACTGTACCCTTCCTAGACATTGTTAAACGAATTTACACACTATACTGTAACCTTCCTAGACATTGGCAACCGAATTTACACACTGTACTTTACACTTCCTGGAGATTGTCAACCGAATTTACACAGTTTACTGTAAACTTCCAATACATCGTCAACTGAATTTACACACTCTACTGTACCCTTCCTACACATTGTCAGCCGAATTTACACCTGACAATTTACCTTCCTAGACGGTGTCAACCACATTCTTTCTCTTATTATCCTTCAGGTGTGTCTTCCGTTTAATCCGGAGAAGATAAATCGATCCCCCTTTAGTGAGATATGGTCTGTTGTAGAATAGCACGTGTTGTGGAATCGTTAAAACTGATATTTTGGTTGTGACGTCTTGAAGTTAAAATGGCGATATTCATTTCCTACTGGTATTTTTGTTAGCAAATATGCCAGACTACTGTTGCTGGAAAGATATGAGAAAACATATCATTCACTACCATGAGGGTGTAACAGAGAAACGTCCAACCTATCTCCAAACTCACAGAGGGTACTTACCCTTTACCTTGGTTGATATGTCGGGTTCAAAATGAGTATCAATTATGACAGCTTTGCCAGTATATCAAGTCCAGAGTTTTTTTATATCCCAAAAATAAGATGATTGAATGTCTATTCCTCTGGCAGGTAAATATTACCTTAGCTACCTTATTTAGATAACTGTTTTGTTAAATAAACCTGTCACTGACTACCTGTGCTATTACATGGAAATGGGTTTTTTCGGAAATGCTGCCACCATGAGAAAGTTGAAAGTGAAAGCGAACTGTTTATTGGAAATGTGTGTTGTGTATTTATTTTGCTGACGTAATACTGCAACCTGCTTTTCTAATATAGATTGGGTGTGTATATGTGCTAGAAGCGGAAATGTCTGTTATCATGGGACATATGAAAAGCGCCCGACATTTTGATGCATATTGGTGATTCTGGATAGATCTCACTTCATCTACAAACATCAAACATGAGTCAATCTCATTGAAATAGAGGACATATACTTTCAGTATCTATTCTATTATCACAATGGCATCACCTACTAGATAAATAATACAGGAAACCTGCGTTTATTTAATTTATTTCCCAGTTTCGGTTTTGTTTTGTACATGGTGTAGGCCCGTACATGTACTTGCTTATAACCATATAGATAATGGAAAATGTACTTCTTAGATGCTTTATGGGCTGTCACTATATATACGATTGGTTGATTGAAACGTTAAGTTGACATCAAAATCTCTTCCATAACCCTACAAAGTTTTTAATACTTTTAGCGTGTTTATTATTTGTATGATGTCCCAGTATAAGCATTCTCTGGCGACTTGCTTATCATGTTATGACATAATCTAAAAGCATACATTCCTAAATGGTTTTAATTTGTCCTTGAGAATTCGAGAAAACATATCATTCACTACCATGAGGATGTAATAGAGAAACGTCCAACCTATCTTCAAACTCACAGAGGATACTTACATGTACCCTTTACCTTGGTTGATATGTCGGGTGCGAAACGAGTATAAATTATAACAGCGTTGCCGGTACATCAAGTCCGGAGTTGTTTTATACCCCAATCGTACTATCTGCGTATAATTTGGACAAAATAAGATGATTGAATGTTTATTGCTCTGGCAGGTTAATATAACCTTAGATAAATGTTTTGTTTAATATACCTGTCACTGACTTCCTGTGCTATTACAGGGAAATTGATTTTTTGAAAAATGCTGACACCAGGAAAAAGTTGAAAGTGAAAGTGAATTGTTTATTGGAAATGTTTGTTGTGTATTTATTTTGATGACCTTAATACTGAGGTAATATGTGTATGTATTGAATCTTTATCTTATTAAAAAGTATGGAAATGCAATAAAGATGATGAAAATATTTTGTTACCTTTATTATTACATCATCACATTAATATTTTACACGTCAAAGTCGGGTAGATTAAAAATGGATAATGTACATTTCGTTTCCAAGTGATATTCATACAGAAAAACGTAAATTTGTTATCCAAATTTCAGTTTCACTTGCACTTTTGTGCTTACAATGTAATTTGATGTAATAACAAGCACCGACTACAGATACTTAACGTTCTGACAAATACGCTCAAAGTTAATTGTTTTTAATTTTATCATCAAAATTAAAATTAAGATACATTTCATATTAACAAAGACAATATAATATAATAATTTAATCAAAACAATGGTTAATTACATACATATAATAAATGATCCTTATGGGAACATAATCAACTGTCCCTTAGTTTTATTACGTTATATGATACAGAATGATATTCAATGTCTCTGCGTATCACAAGTACTCATTTTGCTTGTTTCTTCTTTTCTTCATTTTTATCTATATTTTCAAAGTCTAAAATCCGCTCAATCTAAGTAAGATTTGCATGAGGGACAGTACAAAGTAGGATGTGTTTAGATATTGAAAGTCAGCCAATGCTATTTCAAGTCTTGTTATTTCTTATTTGAAGACTTCCAAATACAATTCTCTAAATGCATTTAAACTGAAAACGCCCTGACGGTAGACGGGTCATCTACTCGGATGCCCACGGAGCCGTCGAGGAACTGGTGGATGTATGGATCTGCTATACACAGGTACCGTCCGGGAACGACGTCACTCCACCGGAAATAAGGTCGGGGCTCGTCATGGTTCAAATAAAACGCCACGTATACTTCATCTCTAACTTTGTCCTGCAAGGAAATATGTTATATACACACAAATGTCACTAAAAACTTATTAATAAAACACATGAGGCTATGGAAAAAATATTTCATAAAGAAAATCAACCACATGGCATGTCCACGGCACACTTTTTTCAATATGGAGAAGTAAAAGTATTTTCCGACAAAACAAGTGATGCGTTCTAAATTGATAAAATTAATATGTTGGTTTGAAGCATTCTAAAAAAATATAGCCTAAACCAAGTAACATAAACGTTTAATGCATGCTAATTTATTTAAATAATTTCCCTTAAATACCATATACATTTTAAGGGTGTATATGAATATAAGTATTTTTACGAGTACGACGCTGTGTAAAAATACTGAAATAATCTGACACATGATTGAAATAATTTTATATCGTATAGACAACGATAAGCTGGTGCTGGTCATCCATATGCCAAAGGTTATCTGCTTAGCAATTAATAAATTTGTATAACAGCTTACCTGTAAATATATGCAATGTCGCAGCACATTTCTGTGATATCGTGAAATAAACCCAACAGCTACTCTAGAGGTACCACGTGGTCTCATTCCTAACAGCTCGTGTGGGATCTCCCGGATGAAGTCCAAAATGGTGCAGCCTGGAAAAACCTTCCACGTCAGACTCTTAACTGTGTCAAGGGCGCCTGGTTTGACATACGAACGATGTGAAAGGTTTGGCATTTTCGGCAAGAGACGTCTTCGATCATAAGCACCCCTCGACTTTGCTGATTCTGAGGCGAACGTTTCCTCTCGTCGATTACCGTCTGTAGGTATGCTCTCGTAGACGTCTTCCTCCGGATCATAACATTGTAGTTTGTGACTTTTCCAATCCTGACGCTGACACTTTTTAGAACAATAATCCACCTTCTTGCACCGCGCACATGTCTTGACTGTCTCGCTTGCTTCACCACACACCAAACATTTTTTGTAACAATTACTTCCTGTTCCTTCTTTATTATTGTGTTCATCAAGATTGCCATCAAAGACAAGCTCGTTGTCTGATAAAAGATCTGACGCGACATGGAAAGATACTTTCTTTCTCATGTATTCCATAAACACCTCATTCGAAACTCCATGAGGTGGATATAGTGTTTTCCCACTAAAAGGAAAATTACATAAATCTTTTGGATTTTCGGCTTGTTCAGTTTGTTCACGTTTTTGAATCTCTTTACACTTGACCCTGTGCTGACGTTTCCAGTCTTCCCTCTGACATACGGTAGAACAGTAATACACCTGTTGACATGCCGAACACCGCCGAAGACTCGAAGTTTTCTTATCACAAACTTCACATTTGTTTTCCATATTATTAAACCTGCAATATATATATATACATATAGTATGTTAGGTATGTGCAAAATAAATGATAAAAACGCAACTGAGATTTCGGTAGAAGCACGAATTTCAAAGTATTCACTTGCAGTTTTTACTTGTTCAATTGATTATAGATGTTTTTCTACGCTGAGCCTGTATTTTCTCTTGCATTATCTTTTTGACACAGTTCATACTTGATACTGATCGAGTGCTTGATTGGTCACGACAACAATTTATACAAAATGCTTAATAGGGTTTAAGTACTGTATGGAGAGCAAAACGATTCAAAACTTGACCTCCTATATATGTACACGTCTGTTCACTACATCATGAATAATAAAATGTTGAAACGTTCTGTCGTTCCATATTTTTCCTTATTCCTGTTAAAAATGAGCATTCCACAAATAAATATGTCCAGCACTTTTAGGAAAACTCCCTTGCCTTTATTACTCTCAAAATACAAACACAAAACATATTTAAAATGATAACAAAAGGTTTTTCAGGCACCGACCTCACTTTTTGTTTAAAACAATAATAATCGTTTGTTCATTTTAACAACTATCAGTTTGGATTCACATACATTTTGGTGAGGAGAATTTTTCGCATGTAGTTACTGAAATGATTGCAGTTCCGGGTGCTGTTTACATAGGGAAGTCAAGTCCTAACGAATACATCTTCGGATCCATATCCTCAAAGGGGTGTTTCCTAAAACAATTATCAATTGTATTATTACGTTACTACTTTCTATCTTTTAAGCTTTTTCTTATAAACTATTTGTATGTCTATAATACACTTTCAGTATTTACTTTATATCAAAATAGCATCCACCTACTAGATAAGAAATACCGATAGCGTGTGTCCATATATTTCGTTACCCAGTTTCAGGGTTTGTTTGTACTTGTTAGACGATTAATATGTCTTCTCCGATAAAGTGATTTACATATAGATAAGACTGGTTCGTGTAAGGTTTGTATAGCTTTCAGTGGACATCAAAACTATTACTAGCTAAAATTTAAATGAAGCGTACCCCATGACTGATTCATAAGTTTCCATAACAGAATCAAGTTTTCATAACTTTTACCTTATTATCATCAGCATTATCATTATCATTCTGTGATATATTATATAAAGCATTCACATGACGTTTTTACATAAACAAGATATATGTTTCGTTATTTTGCAATCTTCAATGGTTTATACTTACCCTCGAGATACCAAACTAAAGTATCACATCATCTCTGACATGAAAGAACAACAATCTAGATTCTAATCATATCATACCGGACCTTTTCTGTTTGATTATCTGTCATTTATAGATCGAAGGTGAGAAGTACATATAAATCAAGTATTAGAAAGTAAGAACGAAGGCAGAGATGGTGAAAACAATCACGGCCAAGTTAAAAGATTCATATGCAACAAATATAAAACCCATCTCAGTCATTGTCCAGCAAACTTACCAGACTCGGTGTGACCTTCAGTCAGTGTCCAGCAAACTTACCAGACTCAGTGTGACCTTCAGTCATTGTCAACCATATTTACATATGATATCGTACCCCTCCCAGTCATTGTCAACGATATACTATCTCTCATCCTTTATAAGTTTGGTCTGCCATTTTAGCGGAGAGAACGATCAGGTTATCACCCATTAGAGGTTGATAGACGCGATCAAAGTACATGTACCATGCGATAAATTGTGACGTCATAAAAAACGATTGACTATATTCATACGCACCATATGTTTTTGTGACACAGATCATAAGATGGAACAAAACTAATCAACCTCTACTTTGAGAGTGTAACAGAGAAATGTCCAACCCTCGAGGTGATTGTATGGCTGCCTTTTCTTGGTAGAGTCTCAAGTTAAACAGGACAGAAATGTCACTTGGAGATTTCTAAGTAACACTCTCAAGGTAGGGGACTGTTAAACATATACCGTATCCCACTTAGCTACTGGCAATCCATTCAAAGTATATATCACATCAACTGTATAGCTATTCATGGATTTCAACAGTAGTACAATATTATTCATTGTTTTAAAAAATCCCTGTTCACAATCATACACGATACTTACTGTTTACTTGGCTGATGTGTCGGGTTCGATTGTGTTTCAACCGAGAAGCCTATACCCGCTTGCCTGGTCCTCAGTAAAATAACAAACTTACACATCAGACTACCGGATCAATATTTTCTGACGTGTTTATGCATGTATGTCCCACATGAAAGTAACCTTAGATAAGATATGTTTTTTTGGAAATTCTGGCATCGTAAATTTTAAGCAAACTAAGATACACTGTACGGAAAGTGACCTGTTTATCGATTGGTGTGTATTAGTGTTGTAGAGATAATGCTATATTTTTATGTATCGGTTCTTTATTTTTTTTAAAAGACGTAGAGAGGCAATCATGATAAGTAAACTATTTGTTACCTATATATCATCCCACTATTATGTGTACATCATGGCAGGATAGCTTAAATAGTCTGCCAAACTGACACATATATACATATATAATAGATGTATCCTTTCCTAGTGATAACCCAAAACTATTCTTTTATCAAACTTTCAGTTTTACTTTCGGTTTTGTATGTAGTATGCTGCGGTTATCACCATACTATCCAAATAGTGATACGGGTATACACCCATCAAAAAGAATCCAATTTTAGCAAAAAGCCTTATATATATAATCACACATTCCAACACAAGTTTAACAGGTGGTGGACTAGATAAGTGTGAAATAACGTGTAAAAACAGGAAAGTGTTGACGATTATGAAACAAGGTATGGTTCTCCGACTAATTAGTTTACAATAAAATCGTTTATCAGACATGCTAACAATCAATACATGTGGTCCATTTCTAATAATTTGTTAATGTTAAAAGTTAAAGCTTAAGTTAGATTCGAATACAGAAGCCAATATAGCTCCTCTTCACCGGACTCAAAAATGTAATAATTGTATAATATAAATGTTACTTGTTTCAAAACAAAATGTTTATTTTAAATTACAGGTATTGGCCAACGTTTAGCAGGTTGGGATAGTGATATTGTGTATGAATGTGTCAGTTATCACAAATATTCCCTTATAGCAAGATTGATAGATAAGTTGAACAAAAATAATCACTAGTAACAGAAGACAAAAGCAAACTGCATTCAATTGTATTACTCATAAATTACAGAAAGATAACTAGCCAATATGTATACAAGTGGTAAATCACAACTTTTCAGTATATCTTATTAATTTATTCATTTAATTTCGTTTTACTTATTTTTGTTGTATTTTAATTAACTTAATTTGTCGCCCAACCAAAGTGACATCTGCATAAGGGATGGAAGTCAGCAAATGATATTTCAAAGCTACAAAATGTATTTAAACTGAAAACGCGCGAACGGTAGACGGGTCATCTACTTTGATGCCCACGGAGCCGTCGAGGAACTGGTGGATGTACGGATCTGCTATACACAGGTACCGTCCGGGAACGACGTCACTCCACCGGAAATAAGGTCGGGGCTCGTCACGCTCAAAGTAAAACCCCACATATACTTCATCTCCATCTTTGTCCTGCAAGACAATACGTTATACACACAAATATCACTGAACCTTTGTTGATAGAAACACAGAAAGCTTTTCAAAAAATTGCAGTAAACAAATTTAACACAACACGATGTCCATGGCACGCTTTCTACAAAGTGGTAGAATGTACATTCTAAATTGACAGAATAATAAGTTGGTTTAAGGAGTTTTAAGGGTATACCATTTAAACGACGTTCTCAATATATGGTAATATTTATAACTCCTGTTCCTTTAATAGCATATACATTTCCAGAGTATAGTTGAGTATCAGTATTTTTCCCCGAGTACAACGCTGTGCAAAAATAATAAAATAATCAAAATATAGACTGAGATCCGATCATCAATATATCATAGGTTATCTCATAGTTGAACAGTTAAATTTGTTTAACAGCTTACCTGTAAATATATGCAATGTCGCAGAAAATATGTGTGATATCGCGAAATAAACCCCACAGCCACTCTAGAGGTACCACGTGGTCTCATTCCGAATAGCTCATGTGGGATCTCCCGGAAAAAGTCCAAAATGGTGCAGCCTGGAAAAGCCTTCCACGTCAGACTTTTAACTTTGTCAAGGGCGCCTGGTTTAGCATACGAACGGTGAGAAAAGTCTGGTGTTTTGGGGAAAGGACGAGGGCGATTAAAAGAACCACTGCCTGCCGATTTTGCTGATTCTGAGGCGAACGTTTTCTCTCGTCGATAACCGTCTGTAGTTATGCTCTCGTAAACGTCTTCCTCCGGATCTTTACATTGTAGTTTGTGACTTTTCCAATCCTGACGCTGGCACTTCTTGGAACAATAATCGACCATCTTGCACCGAGTACATGTCTTGACTGCGTCGCTTGCTTTGTCACATACATGACAACTTTTGTGAGGAGCACTTACCGTTTCTTTCGCATTACTCTGTTTATTAAGATCGTCGTCAAAGTTAAGTACACTTCCTGAAAAATTATCGGCACAAAAAAAGCGGTTCGATCCATTTTGTCTCAAGTATTCCACGAACTTGTCATGTGTTAGCCCATGTGCCGGTTCCGATGAATACAAAGGTCCACCGGTTGCGCTTCCAATATCAGGAATATTATAGAACTCTTCCGGATTTTTGGCTTGTTCAGTTTGTTCACGTTTTTTAATTTCTTTACACTTGATCTTGTGCTGACGTTTCCAGTCTTCCCTCTGACACACGGTGGAACAGTAATAAACCTGTTGACATGCCGAACACAGCCGCAGACTCAAAGTTTTCTTATCACAAAATCCGCATTTGTTTTCCATTTCATCAAACCTGTAATATAAGACACACATTATATATATATACTGTGAACCTTAAAGACGTTATTCGTAAGGATAAAGTGGAATATTACATTAGAAAAGATTACCACCATGCTAAGTGACAACAAAACATACGCGGTGCTGACAAAAAGTCCCACACTATTGGTCACAACTCGCGAAGGTGAAGGACAAATGCGCTATCAGCGAAGAACAATATAAAAGGTCTTTCCTACATATATAAAACACTCGACGCACATACTGTACGCGTAAGATCTAAAAACCTGGCTAATTGTGGATAACACTGGTTACATTGGGTACAGTGTATCAAGATGGCTTACAGACACTCTGGGTTTACTTGTGTGGGGGGGTGGGG